TACAAGAACGCAGACACTACGCTGAATATCATAACTAGTAAAAAGACTCATTTGATCGATAAATATATATCCAAGACCAAACCCAGTGCTTCTAGGAATACGAGGGGATCCCTACACATGAACCATGCGGCGGTCAACAAAATTAAGAAGAAAACCCAGAAATTCAAGACGTGGGTTGGGTCAAACGATGAGCAAGACAGGAGGATGTATGCAAGAGCCAGAAACCAAGCAAAGATAGAGTGTAGGAGGGCTGAAAAGGAGTTCCAGAGGCTGGTTGCAAGCGAGGTCAAGTCAAACCCAAAGGCGTTTTACCGCTATGCAAAGTCAAAATTAAAAACGCGAGTAGGAGTATCAGACCTGAGGCTTGAAGATGGTAGTTATGCAGATTTTGACCAGGAAAAAGCTGAGACATTGAACAGATTCTTTTCCTCGGTGTTCACAAGAGAGGTTGCGATTAACCTTCCTGCGTTTGAGAACAGACGGTTCGACACATCACTGATCCAAATTGTGTTCACAAAAGAGTGTATAAGAAATAAACTGTCAAAGCTAAAGTTCCATAAGAGTCCCGGCCCTTACATGGTGCATCCCAGAGTGCTAAGAGAGTTGTGCAACGAGCTTGTCGAACCCCTGAAGAGCCTGTTTTGTAAATGCCTGGATGAAAAAAGGTCCCCAGTGAATGGAAAATAGCTCATGTGAGTCCTATCTTCATGAAGGGTGATCGTCACTCCACGAACAGCTATAGACCGGTGAGCCTGACCAGCATAGTAAGTAAAGTACTTGAGAGTATTATCAGAGATGCCGCGATGGAACATCTACTACGAAACAACCTTGTAAAGGATTGCCAACACGATTTCATGCCGGTGCGCTCCTCCTTAACAGAATTGCTCAAGGTATTGGATATTTAGACCTATATTCTGGAACGGGGTGGTAATATCGACAATATATATATACCTAGATTTTGCCAAGGCTTTCGACAGTGTACCCCTTGAAAGGCTGAAATCAAACTGGAAGGGTACGGAATTCGGGGAAATGTCCTAGCATGGATAGAAGATTTTCTACATGGCCGCAAGCAGTGTGTGGTGATTAATGGCACAAAATTATCATCTGTATTTGTCACAAGTGGGTTACCACAGGGCAGTGTATTGGGCCCGCTATTGTTTGTTTGTTTCATAAATGACTTGCCTGACGCTGTACATTCCTCCATACAAATGTTTGCGGATGACGCCAAGTTATTTCGGAAAATCAAGAACTAAGCGGAGTGTGAAGAACTGCAGAAAGATATCTACGAAACTGCATTAACTGCATTAATTGAGGCAATGTGAAAGGGACCTAGGTGTGTATGTTGACAATGAATTGAAGTTCTCGGACCATTGTGCGAAGAAGGTGAATCGGACAACAAAATTGTTACGTCTTATAAGAAGGTTGTTCAGATCTTCAACAGCAAGGTCCTTTCCCGCCTGGAGTGCTGTTACCCCGTCTGGTCCCCGAGATATGCTAGGGACTATCAGTTGATTGAAAATGTCCAAAGGAGGGCCTCCAGACTGGTGCCTTCTCTATGGCACCTCAGTTACCCAGAGAGGTTAACGTGTCTGCAATTGCCTAGCTTACACTACAGACGGCCAGAGGGGGACCTAATTGAGGTGTATAAACATCTCAAAGGGCACTACTCAGTCGAGTGTACTTACCTGAAGCTGGCGGACTCTCGCCCCACAAGGGGACAGGGGCGCATCTCATTTGGGCGCAAAATGCAATTTGTTATTCTTTTATCTAGGCGCCAGTATACCACTTCATTTCGGCGCCAACATACCGGTACTTCCGTGACATATTATCCTACTCCCTACACCCCTCACTGTTTATCTTCCTCGATGTTCTGCAGAAATTACAAACCGTCATCTACATCAAAATTAGGCAGGTACGGGGATTGGCACCAGGTATCAGGTGGATGTGATAAGGGGCACCTGCCATCACAGGGAGGGGATACCTATCCGTGTTGAAGGTGATAGACGAGAAGTGGCGGAAGAGCCACTCCTCCAGTCTTGAGGCACTTTCTTCTAGTGGGTGGAGCGGCATGTCAGGTGGCCTGGGCAGGGGGCTAGTGTCACCCCCATCTGCCGCTCCGTAGTAGCAACGGAGGGGAGTGGGAGCGGGAAGTCCACATGCATCAAGCCGAGGTTCTTACAGGCGGTGAGTTATAGGTACAGGTGCTCGACAGACTTGACGAAGTGCACGTCCTGGAGAGTAGAACGATCGGGGAGGCTAATGCGGCAAGGCGCAGAACCCAGGGTGGCCAGCGGGATGTTGGCCAGGTCACGTAAGGCAGCCCGACGCTGTAACAGCGCAGGCCGGAGACCCAACGATGACATTAGGGTGGGACCGGCCACACACACACACCTGGGCGCCGGTGTCTGTGATGGTCATAGCTGGGCGGAGAATATCACTAGCTGGGCGGGCCACATCGACGCATAACAGTGGCTTTTGAGACAGGTGGACATCAGCCACCACCACACCAGTAACTGCGTCTGTGGCTATCTGGCCTCCATAGTGCTTCTTAGCTCTCCTGCAGAGTTTCTTCAGGTGGCCCAACTTCCCTCAGCCATGACAGATGGCCGCCTTGGCCGGTGAAAATTTATAATCTCTTTGTTTAACACTTATATCCATAATATTCGCAGTGTACAGACTATTCCATCTATCTTTTTAACTTAATAGTAATTTTAAATAATTAGTTCCAGTATTTGATAGTGCAGCCGTGTTATTTATTAGCTGTTACAGAGTAGGGTCCTGTATTTTCATGTACTACGTGTCACCACGGGACTAGCAGTTCTACCACCAATGTGCATATTTAAATCACTATTGCAAATTCCGACAGTCCTTTGAACCGGATATGCTAAAGCTTAATGCATAGCAAATAATAATATTAAGCTCTCCTAAAACATAGTGAAGAAAATAAAGAAATTAGCAACATGCTATTTAAACTGCGTCCGAGTAGACCAAATGGCGGCTGCGGTTGAACCTCTCAGACGTTATACCGAGTTGGATGGGTAGGCCAGTGCCTAGTAAGATGGGCCCAACGAGGTTCATATAAAATTATACGTAAAGCCAGGGGCTAAGGCCTCCAATTTCCTTGCATATCCAGAATTATCCAACCTCTAGAGCAGTGATTCCCATTTTTTTAACCTATTGCTCTTTGCAAAGTCCTCACGGCCCCCCCCCCCCTCCACTCCACCTTATATTTTTGTATGTAAAATCTACATAGATTTAATTTTTTATTATAATTATATTTTAATATTGTTGAGGATCAGATAACTCCTTGTGAAAGATACGAGTCGTGTGAGAGTCAGTATGGTATCCATGACATGTACAAGACGCATAAGAAGAGAGAGATGAAATGATAGAAAAAGGATAGGTGTAAAGGCCTGGCCTGTGGGATATAAATCCCTTGCCAACCCAATCAGGATCTTATAAAAAGGAAAGTCAAGAACCATGGGTTTCCAAGGGGTAACAAACATCCGTTGGAGATTGACATTTCTTTACTACGAAAATAATCACAATAATTTAACTCTGACACCACTCACACAAATATTAAATAAACAGCACTGGAGTCAAACAATTACTTGAAACAAAACAATCAATACAACAAAGTACAGGTATTTCCTACGGCTGCAGATGAATCTTTCTCTTAACCAGCACTGTAGAATGTTCTGGTAACGTGATGATCCGCTCTCAAGGGGAAGGTCCAGGGCAGCTTCCTCACTTGGCGCCGGCGTTGGTGGGTGATGTCTTGCCATACAGGAGAGACACCAGGGCATGGACAGTGGATCGGGCATGGAGGAAGAGGCGATCACGTGGCAGCCGCGGTAGTAGCTGGAGTAGGTGTCCGGAGTTGACAGCCGAATAGTGAAGGACTGGGGAATGGGCTCACGAGCCTCAGGAGCCTCAGATGAGTACACAACCAGAGTTGGAATCGAACAGCGGGGGAAGTGCAGCTGTGGTCAAGGCTGGATAGTGTCTGGTGTGCGACGAGGCAGCAGCGACCTTCTCACCTCCGTCTATTTCCCTAGTGAGGCAGCTAACAACCCAACGAGCTGCGGACAACCATCCCGCTCGTTACAGCCCTTACAATAGGGGTGACTGCTGAACTTTGGTTTTGCACGGATGTGTGGAAGATTCAAAAGGAGAGAGAGTTACTGCGAAAAGAGTTTCTTCATTATATTATTTTTGAGCGACTGTGGGATAATGAGACCCTTTTACGTAGAACTAGATTGTTCTTTATTCGATCAAAAACTGCAGAGTACAAATTACATATGTTACATATGAGATAATTAATTCATTCGTACGTTCCTTTACTATTAACAACTACATATGACATATTTGAGTAGAGTGGGATGTTAAACCATATAAAAACTTACGTGCTTCGGGTCTAATGTAGGACTTATTAGCTCCCTAACTTGTTAGCTCACTGGACGGCTAGAGGCTAACTTCTGAACCCCACAGGGAGTGAGTCAGCCCGAGGCGAGGGCCATCTGTTTCACATTTAACACCTCAGCAAAGTTCGTTGTCAACACTCTGTCTCTCTCCTGTCTCTCTTTCTCTCTCTCTTCTAGTTTATCCTACTGTGGCGGTAACACTCCCCCTGTTGAGCTTGCTCGAAACCCATTGTCTGTCGGGAGTCTCACTCTCCGACTCCCTCCAATAGGCAGAGCTTTGTCACTAGACGTATTAACACTGAGTCCTTCGTCTTCACTTTGGCAAGCCGCACCAGGCTGTCATCACCCGGTACGGCCTCCAATACCCTTCCAAGCATCCATTTGCTCCTTGGGAGAGGATGTCCAGATATGATGACGATGTCCCCAGTGCTTCTGTCGCCGCCGGAGTGTCGGGAGATATTCCTTCACCCACCTCTTCCAGAATTGGTCTGCAATGAATTGGGCATGCTTCCATTTTCTTCGGTACACTTCTGCTATGGACTGATCGCCTCCAGTGGGCAGGGTATCCGCGTGCATTCACAGTAGGTGAAGGGGAGTGAGTGCTTCTAGGTCTCTCGGGTCGTTGGATACTGGGGTGATGGGCCTCACGTTGACAATCTCTTCCACGGCACAGAACAGGGTGTTGAGTCGCTCGTTGTCTAGTACCTGTGTGCCCAACACCCCCTGGAGAACCTTCTTCATCATGTGGATCTGACGCTTCCACACTCCACCCATGTGAAAGGCAGTTGGAGGGTTGAACTCCCATTCTATTTGCCTCTGCAAAAGTGTGTTCCTAAGATTGTCACTGCTGTTCCACTTACTCACCGCCTCCCGAAGTTTTCTGTTCGCTCCAATCATGTTGGTTCCATTGTCGGATCTGATGCGCTTGGGAGGTCGTCTGTGGGATGTGAACCTCGTCATGGCGTTGATGAATGAGTCTGTGTTCAGTGAGGTGAGGACTTCCAGGTGTATAGCTCGGGTGGCTAGACATGTGAACAAGCATCCCCATCTTTTCGTCCGGGCCCGGCCTTGTTTAACCATGAAGGGACCAAAACAGTCGACTCCGGTGCAGGTGAATGGCCGATCTTCTGGATGTACCCGGTCCTCTGGCAGGTCAGCTTGGTGTTGGTGGGTAGGCTTCCAATTGCTTCTTCGACCAATTTCACACATGCGTAGTACTAGGTCGATCATCTTACAGCATTTGGGTATCCAATATGTCTCGCGTACCTCTGCTAGAGTGTGCTCATGTCCTGAGTGGCCAGCCCTGGTCGAATGTACCTCTTGTACGATAAGTTCTGTGGTTTTGTCCCTGGGTAACAGTATGGGGTTCCTTTGGTCTGGATGGAGAGCAGCACGCTTCAGTCGCCCACCTACTCTGATCAGGCCGTCTGCACCCAGGTAAGGTTCCAGTCTGCTTACGTCACCAGTCCTGACGGAGTGTCCTCGTTCCAGCGCGACCATCTCGTGGAAAAATCCCTTCCTTTGTATCAGGCTCAAGACAGCTTATCTTGCCTCATCCAACTCGCTGATGTTCAGTCGATCTTCTTGGTGACGTTCTTCCTTTGGGTCTCTGAAGCGCCACTGTATGAACCTCCTGAGCCATGCCACACTTTTCAGTAGCTTATGCCATGAGGAGTACCCATAGCCCTTTTAGGGTACTCTCCCCCTGGTCAGTGCTCGTTGCCAGTACTGTTGCTTCTCTTTTTACCTCCGGGTCTCCATCTGCAAGGTTAGGAATCGGCTTTGGGTTCTTTGGCCAATATTTTATTTTATTTTATTTTTTATTTTTTGTATTTTATTTATTTTTCATCAAAAGAAAGGGGGGTCCTTGAATCCAACTGCAGTCCTTGTTCAATTCTGCCCCATGCAGTCAACTGTTGGCATCATCAGCTGGGTTTTGGTTGGAGCTCACGTGTCGCCATTGTTATGAGTCAGAATTCTCATATATCGTTGCAATTCGGTTTGCCATAAAGGTATGGAAGCACCGTTCTGTGTTTCGTATGTAGTGAAGGGTGACCATGTTGTCTGTCCAGAACACTGATCTGTCGATCTGCAGCTCTAGTTCTTCTCACAGTTGTTTGTCTGCTTTGGCTGCTAACACTGCCGCACATAGCTCGAGCCAAGGTATGGTTTGCTGTTTCAGAGGAGCTACCTTGGCTCTGCTACACACAAAGGAGGTAGAGTGGGCTCCGTCTCCACTTGTGATCCTGAGGTAGGATACAGCCCCGTATGCTTGCTGGGAGGCGTCGCAGAAGTGGTGCAGTTGTACCGTAGTTTTTGGATTTTGCACATTCAGGGTGGTAACATCGAGGGATGCGTACTTGGGACACATGGTAAAGTTCATTTAGCTACTGCCGCCAAACAGCTCTGTTGTGTTTGGTCATTTGCTCATCCCACCCGATAGTTGGTCGTCTGTCCACCACAGGAAGCGCAGGGCGTCTCGATGCTCAGGCAGTACTCGTACCTGGTGGAACATAGCCTCGATATCAGCCATGAGTGCCACCCGTTCTAATCGGAACCTAATGAGGACTCCCATCAATATGTTGTTGAGGTCTGACCCTTGCATCACTTGGCTGTTCAGGGACACTGACTCATATGTTGCTGCACCATCAAAAACTATTCTCAACTTCCCGGGCTTATTTTGGTTCAATACTGGGTGATGTGGGAGATACTGGCCCATTTATGGTCCATCCTAGAAGTGTGCGCACGTCGAACGGCTCTCCGTTCTCTCCAGTCCTTACTTCTAACGGTGTTAGGGCTTGTGGTTTATCCAACCCTATCTGGAGATCCACTTTCCGGTGCATGGATAGGTGTTGTTCCTTGGAGATGCCTCCACTTGGCAACGGCTCTGGTGTCCGCAACCTAACGAGGATTCTGGGAATGTTGATGGATCGACTTCTTCTTATTCCGATGCTAGTCACCTTCAGATCAATCTCTTTGGCCTTCACGCTCTTCGTCTCCTTCAGGATCGTGCCTATGGAGATTGAAACAGACTTCCCTGTTGTTCGTAGTCGCTATTTTACTCCAAAGTGCGATGGCTTTTCACTGGTAATGTTGTAAATCGAGTGTTCGAACTTCGGGGAAAACTTAAGTTCTTCCTGGAATTGAAAGGGAAGGATGATCCACTAAGTCACTTCAACGAGGTGTTGTGGGAGCCACGTCTTGCGTACCTGGCAGACATATTTGAGCAGCTATACAGGCTGAAACTCAAGCTACAAGGCAAGGAAAGAAATGTGTTTCACCACATGGATTGTATTCGTGCATTTCTTGACAAACTCCAGAACTGGCAAAGGAAACTCAATGCGGAAAATGTTGCCATGTTTGAGAATATCTCAATTGTTCTTGACGAGATTGAAGAGGATCATCTACTTGACCCATCGCTCAAAAATGAAATAATTCAGCACTTGAAATCCTTGGAAAGTGAACTCAAAAGGTACTTCCCAGAATTCGAGGAGGAAGAAGGGAAATTGGTAAGGAATCCTTTCTCTAGCACTCTTGATATTGCTGCCATTCCCGACGATGGTCAGGACGAATTCCTTGATCTCAGGAACGAATCTGCTGCCAGAGACTTCTTTGAAGAAAAATCTCTGACTGTATTCTGGTGCTCAATGTGTCAGTCATATCCAAAAGTTAGTGAGGTCGCACTTCGAGTCCTCTTGCCATTTTCTACTACTTATTTTTGTGAATCTGGTTTCTCCACCCTTCTTCAAATAAAGAATTAAAGCCGAAACCGGTTACATGTAGACCCAGACATGAGATGTGGTTTATCAGTGACTCAACTTCAAATCAGTCGACTGACTGAAAGGAAACAATGTCATCCATCCCATTGAACTGCAACAAAATATGCATTCTGTTTGATGATTATAAACATTAAAACAAAGGAAGAGAACCAAAACAGTTTATTTTCATCATTATTTGTGAGGGGCTGGGGAGAGAACTGAAGGGGAGCCACGAGGATGTTGAGTGTTCCTCATGGGGGGATGGAGTGAAAAAGTTTGAGAAACACTGGTCTAGACGATTTGTTAGACTTGCTAATTATTTGGCTAGGCGGAAGTAACACATATTTGCCAACTCTGAAACATGAATACCATTATTTTCAGGTAAATAAATGGTTAACGTAGCACAAGGAAATATAAAATATATAAAAATCTGTCCTGTTATTTACATTTTCTTTATTTAAACAGAGTGCAGGCTAAAAACATTGAAAATGCATTGGTAGGTTATAAAATGGAATATACTGTACAATATCTAAAAATCTGACCTGTTATGTACATTTTCATTATTTAAAAATAATTTGTTTACATATCGGTTATGGTGTAGTGGATTCCTCCCCTACAACCGCCGTTGTCGCTGATTAGCCGACCATCGAATTCCCCAGCCTGCGCCTCGTGGTCAAGGTCGGCAACCAGCGCCGCCTAACATAACTGAGGTCAACTATCAAGCCACGCCTACCTCCGCTATATAAGACCTCACCTCGTGGTGACCTCTCTTTCTACCTACAGCCACCAGCAAGCAAACCTCCTCCTCCTCCGCTCCTGCCTGGCGGCTCCCGGCGGTGACTATGCCGCCCTACGAGCTGCGTGTTCTCCTCTGAGCACCCTCACCAACCAGCTCTCTCTACATCACGCTTGGACTCATGCTGCCACCCCCGAACACCAAGCTGCATTGTACATCCAATACAATATGTATACAGAGAGCACATTGTGAGTTTCCTTTCTCCATCCCATCCTGAGTGTGAACCAATATCTCATAACCCCACAATAGGTTGAATTTGCAGCCAACTGCTCGAATATACTGGGTCCGGCTAATTTCCTTATCTTCATATATGTGGAACTGTTCAAGTATAAAGTCCATCTTTTGTCTTTCTTGGCATCTTACAGGTGCATGAGCATTCATTCCCCTGATTTTGATATAGGTGACGGTTTGTAATTTCTGCAGAATATCGAGAAAGATAAACAGTGAGGGATGTAGGGAGTAGGAAAATTTGTCACGGAAGTACCGGTATGTTGGCGCCCAAATGAAGTGGTATACTGGCGCACATAAAAAAATAAAAAAATGCATTTTGCGCCCATATGAGAAGCGCCCGTGACCCTGTAGCATAGTGTATGTGGTCAGTAGTCTAATTTCTCTTTGTTAGGCTCACATACATACGTACATGTAGGAGATCTCGCACAAAGGATGGAGGTGAAAGAAAAACTCACAATAGTTTTATATATATATATATATATATATATATATATATATATATATATATATATATATATATATATATATATATATATATATATATATATATATATATATATATATATATATATATATATAAATATATATATATATATATATATATATATATATATATATATATATATATATATATATATATATATATATATATATATATATATATATAATATATATATTAAAAAGGTGTAATGTCATACGGAGAGCGAATTTTTTTTAGTTTGAAAAATCGGCCCATGGTATTAATGATGTAGTTCTATGTGCAGAATCTATGTGATATCTTCCAGATTTGAAAAGTTTTTATTTTTTGCTAGGCTAAATTTTGGCAGAAATCTTATGAAAGTCAGTATTCCACCCTTTTACCAGCACCACTAAATAGCTTATTTGAAGTAAAGCAAAATGTATCAGGTTAATTTATTAGGATGAAAATGATCCAGAATAGTGAAACGAATGATCTTGACACATTTATTAAATTTAATATTCTTTGAAAACAAAATCATCAAATACAAAAACGGTTTTACTACTATGACCGGTGTTGCTGCACACCATAGAGAACATGTGCTCTTGCTTCTGTTTCTACTCATCACCTCCCTGCTGACCACCTGAGCTCCGGATGTAGCCTTCCCTCCTCTCCTGGCTGTACCTGCGTGACTGCTGGCCTCGCTCACTTGCTGTACACAGCTCTATATACTCTGGGTGTCACGGGGCCCAGGCAGGGACATGCATGGGGTTGTCCAGCTCTGACAGACATTGGTGAGGCTGCAGGCCAGGGGGCTCACTGCCAGCCTGGATGTTATCCAGATCTATGAGATCAGTGAGGGTCTTGGCACCTAGATTGACTTTAGGAGTCTTCCTGACCCTGAAGGAATCGTCACCAACTGATTCGTCATGCGGAATCTCTCATAAGTCTCATATCCAAGATCTTTGACTGCCCTCTTCTCCTCCTCCTCATCCCCTTGCTGCAGGCATTGTCTGCAGAACTGCCTCAGGATGAGCATGCCAGGAGAAGATCTCCTCACAGTCTGCTCCACAATCTGAACAACCTTCCTTGGCTGACTCCTCAGGACTCAAGCTGGAAAGAACATATACCTCAGACCTTCGGAGAACAGTGGCTTGACCTTGTTGTTGAACCAATTTGGCAGTAGACACTCTGATGAATTGGACAATAAGTCTCTCCCAGGTTCAATGAAGCTGGTTCCCTTCCAGTTTATGATGAG